TTTTCTTTTCTTTTCTTTTCTTTTCTTTTCTTTTCTTTTCTTTTCTTTTCTTTCGTTTTTAGCAGCTTTCTTGTGGTACAGTTTATTTATCATAAAGTTCCCCATTTTTAAGCGTAAAGTAGCCTTTTTTTTTTTTTTTTTTTTAATGACTTTACAGAGTTGTGCAACCAGCCGTGCGATCTCGTTTTCGAGCATTTCTATCATCTGGGATGTTATGTTGCAAAGTAGGGAAGATGTGTTGTTTGTCTATTGGGCAAGAGTGCGTTCAAACAGGAGCACCAAGAGGATGATGATTTCGAATTTGCTAAATGCACAGCAGTAATACAAAGTTTATGCTGCTTCATTATTAAACACTCGCCTTGATTGTAAATAGTGACCTCTAAAAATGCCTGGAAGATTTATAACAAGGAGGATAGAACTCTATGCATTTCCTGTTTTATAAAAGGTGATGGATTTTCCTAATCTCTCAGAGAGAATCTTGGATTAAGACTCATGGCTGGCTTGGAACGATACAGAGAAGATTTGCAGTCCTGTGCAAGGATATATGTGAATTTGTGAAGCGTTCCAGATGCTTAAAACTTAATGGGGGAAAAACCCCCCTGATACCTAGGCAGAAAAGGTCAATTAGTAGTGTTAGAGTAGCAGGTGTTTGGACTTCATACCATGTTTAGGTTTGACATCTTCCCTGCCCCCCACCCCCCACCCCTCACCCCCCCACCCCAGTCCCATGGCTAAGTTTATTGTATTTGTTCTCTTAGAAAATTGAACACTTTAAAAACCAGGCCCACGTGGCAGCTTGAGTCCCTCTGTTCATGGAGACTGAGAAGTCTCAGCTTGTCTTCACGACACTGGGACACAGGGTGTGGAATGGAGGGTTGAGAGCATGGTGCCAGAGCAAGGGGCCAAGAGTAATGGACTGAAGAGGCGGGGAGCAGGTTGTCCATCTCGTCGAGGAGGAAGGGGGAGTGGCTGCATGCAGCGAGATTCCCCTGGACCCAGCTCTTAAGATCCTTCTTGTGGTGCTCCATGGGGCTGGGATAGGGGAAGTGGATGGCAGGGAAAAGTGGTGCACGTGACAGGGCTGCAGAGGCCACCCCGGAAGAAGGTAGTGCGCCAGCAGGGAGTGGACACAGGACTTGCCAGTGCCTGTCCAGCCCTGCAGGGAGAGGACCAGTGGCTTGGTTGGGGGCTGGGTCCTGCGCGAAGACCTTCGGTGCCTTCACCGCCGGCGCCCCGGCCAAGTGCCGGGTCAGGTCACGCTCCAGACCCTGGAAGCTGGGCTGGCAATGATATTTGCAGAAGGCGCCCGAGTGGCAGTGCAGCGGAGTCAGGTCCCTGGCGGCCATCGTGGCCGAGACCAACCCCAGTAACCGGAGGAACGAGCCCCCCGGGCCGGCGGCTGTGCGTCACGGCCGCCACGCGGGTGCGGCCCAGGTTTGACTTCTGATCGAAAGAAAATATTGGCAACTCCTTGACCTGACTTAAGGCTTGTAGAATTTTTTTTTTTTTTTTTGCTGCGATGGGTAATTCAGATGATTACTTTGGTACTCTAGCTCTGAATCCTATGAATGACCTCTTTCCGTAAATTAGTGTTCATCTAATGATTGTGAAGAAATAGATATTTAGGCCTTAACTCATTATGTTAATGGTCTAGGGGAGATTATACACGTAACTAATTTGTTACCCATTCGTGCGTGTTTCTGATGTGTAAGCCGAGTATCCATTTTAAAACATCATTTATAAGAATGAGTCTGTTGGTTGCTGCTGATGGACTTTGAGATTTTTCCTGATCAGCTTTTTAGCAGTTACAGTGAAGGACATCCCCGCTTCAGCATCTCAATATAATTCTCACCTGGGTTTGTCAGGGAAGCATGCACATCGGTCTTAGAACCCACTGATCAGGAACTCTGGTCTCTGGCTCTGCTGAGGACAGTAGAAGGACCTGACCGTACAAGGGCAACAGTTGAGTTGTACTTTAAAGAAATTCGTTATTTACTTAAAGAGTTGGTTTATACTCTGTGGTATGTATTTTCTCTAAGAGTGTCTTCATTACCAGTTACCTACATTCACCGCTTGTTGTCGATAATAGTTCGTTTTTACGTTCCTCCGATTTCTAAAAGGATAAGATTTGTCATCTTAGTTATGTGTCTGACCCAATTGTAAAGGGGTAAGGAAACTTTTTGCATATCACTCTTAAACAAGATAGCATTTTGTCGGATTGTGGTAGTAATTTCTGAACTGTGAATTGTTGTTTTGATGAATAGCTCTGAAGCTCGTCTCTTTTGCTGAGGGTCAGAAAATCCCAAAGGCCTCCTTGGTGCTGGTGATGCCCCTTCTGCAGATCCTGTCTTCTACTGCCTTGGAAGACTGTATGTCCACGGACGAAGAAGGTCCCTCTAGGCAGCAGTTGGCTGTAAACCTTTTGGAAATAGTACAGCAGGAATCCTGCAGAGACGACCGCCGGAAGGTAATGAGTTCAGCCTTGTTTCTCTTAAGTAAGGTGGCAGTGTGGGACTTAGGTTTGCGCAGGTAATCTCACATCCCGATGAAGTATCTGTTTGGGCGTGGACACCTTGAGCGTTACCATTTGTCAGGCAGTGGTGTAGCTATTAGTATATTCCTCTGGACTGTGAATGGGGAGGGTAAAATCAATTTTGGAAGAGGCATATAATTTTTTTTTTCCCCTCTTTGAATTTCCCGTCTACATGAGTAGTTCAAGGTCCTGAGAAATCCTGCAGAAAAGGAACTAGTTCAATTTAACCTAGTGCTTCTCTGACACATTTGAGCAAGGAATCCTCCTTTCTTGCCGTACTGTTTAATAAGGACAGCGTGGGGGCGCCTGGGTGGCGCAGTCGGTTAAGCGTCCGACTTCAGCCAGGTCACGATCTCGCGGTCCGTGAGTTTGAGCCCCGCGTCGGGCTCTGGGCTGATGGCTCAGAGCCTGGAGCCTGTTTCCGATTCTGTGTCTCCCTCTCTCTCTGCTCCTCCCCTGTTCATGCTCCGTCTCTCTCTGTCCCAAAAATAAATAAACGTTGAAAAAAAAAAAATAAGGACAGCGTGTTGCTGCATCTGGGACAATCCAAGGCTGGGAATCTCAAACGCCTGGAAGTTCTGGCATCTGCAAGAGCTAGGACTTCATTTTTTAAAATGTGGCGCCTTCTGCCATTTTCCTCGGCTTGATGGCTCCCAATGTCTCCCGTGTGTGCCCCCACGCTGCGGCCTTCAGTCGGAAGACTGCAGGTCTGTCCCACTCCATCCGTATTCCTGCCTGCGAGGCATACCTCATTCTGCTTTGTCCATCTCACTGTCTCTGTTGCGATAACGTAAACGTACTGTCAGCGGGTCAGTGGCTGGCTTCTGGGCCTGCATTTGTGAGACCTTTTCTCTTTTGGTATTTGAGTTTTGCCTTCAGTAAAATGTGGGATTATTTCCCAACTACCGGTTTTCTGGGGATTGAATGAGGATTAAAGAAGTAAAACAGGTGAAACATCTTCTGTCTCCGTGGAGAGTGACATTATATAAATGCAGGCGACCGCCACACACGTTGTTTCATCCGAGAAAGCAGGGAAACCTGGAATCACGTATTGTTACATGTTCTAGCAGCAAAACTCCGGGCACTGTGATTCCTTGCTTGAGGGCACAGCAAAAACTAGCCCATAGGCAAATTGGCTGCATACCGCAGCATCCGAATTCCTAATTGTTTGTCCAGAACTTTAAAACTTGACATAGGTAATTCACTTGCAATGAGAGAAGGAAGTTCTCGGGCGCCTGGTGGCTCAGTCAGTTAAGTGTCCGACTTCAGCTCAGGTCACGATCGCGACGTTTGTGAGTTCAAGCCCCGCATGGGGCTCACTGCTGTCAGTGGACAGCCCACTTTGAATCCTCTGTCCCCCTGCCCCTTTGCCCCTCCCCATTAGTGTTTTCTCTCTCTCTCTCTCTCTCTCTCTCTCTCTCTCTCTCAAATAAACATTAAAAAATATTTAAAAAAAATAAGAGGGAAGGAAGTTCTCGTGCCCACTCTAATACAAGTGCGGCCTGGGTTTTCTTTCTTCTTCTTCTTCTTTTTTTTTTTTTTAATTTTTTTTTTTAAATTTTTTTTTTCAACGTTTTTATTTATTTTTGGGACAGAGAGAGACAGAGCATGAACAGGGGAGGGGCAGAGAGAGAGGGAGACACAGAATCGGAAACGGGCTCCAGGCTCTGAGCCATCAGCCCAGAGCCCGACGCGGGGCTCGAACTCACGGACCGCGAGATCGTGACCTGGCTGAAGTCGGACGCTTAACCGACTGCACCACCCAGGCGCCCCTTAAATTACTTTTTAAAAATGTTTTTATTGTGTTGTTGTTGCTGATAGTTAAATTGTATATGTAATTTTTAAAATATTTATTTGTTTTTGAGAGAGATGAGAGCGAGAGAGACAGACGGAGAGTGAGCAGGGGAGGTGCAGAGAGAGAAGGAGACACAGAATCGGAAGCAGGCTCCAGGCCCCGAGCTGTCAGCACAGAGCCCAACACGGGGCTCCAACTCACGAGCAGTGAGATTATGACCTGAGCAGAAGTCAGATGCTTAACCTACTGAGCCACCCAGGTGCCCCGCCCAGGTTTTCTAATAGCCTTTTACTTTCCCGCCTGATTGGCTGGTACAGAACAATAATTGTATTCTGGATGGGGGCAGGGCAGGCTATACTTAGGTCTAAGAGTTCTGTTCTTTTAGCTCGTAAGTGATATGTTTTGAGAATCACTCTGACCAGAATACACGGGTGCTCAGTTGACTATTCGCCTAGGTGTGTGGGAATCGTATTCATTAACACTAACAGCTGGACTCTGTCTCCAGCAGCTGGTGAAGAGGGAGGAGGAAGGAAGACCATTAGGGCTATAAACATTCTCCCGATGATAATGTGCTGCTTTGTGGACGCTCGGCGTAGTTACGATCACCATTTTTTAAAAATGTAAGCCACGGTTTACTGATGGCTTTTCTTCTGCACCTGTCCAGGCCTTTATATTCCAAGCATACCTATAAATTTAACAGGATGCAATGCCTCTGAGTCTCTCCCTGAATCTTTGCTTTTGCACATAATGCTCTTTTGTCTCCTTTGCCTGACCTACTCATTCTTCAAGACTCGGCCAAACATTCTCAGCCTCCTGGAGTCCGAATTCATTACCCTCTCCTCTGCGTCCCCAGCACTTACAACATTACTCACTTGTGCTGTGTCTTAACTTAGGGGGCTACGTATTTGTATCTCCAGCTATGCCGTGAGCTCATCGAGGGAAAGAATCGTGACCCTTTTCACACTTCACCTTTATTTTCTAAGCACATTAAAATCGAAATTGCAACAGTTGTTGAACTTTTTGTATTTTTCCACACCAGTGTTTTTTTTGCTTTATCTTTTTCAGCTGATCGTAGAAAGAGCATTCAAAAATACTTTAGCCGGCTGTTAATTGAATACTCTATTTTTCACATACTTAAATAAGCTAGGATGTTGCCGATATATCTTGGTATCCTCAATACCTAACACCTTGTTTACCACATGATAGACATTCAGTAAATTTCTATTCAGTGAGGAATGTGTGCTTCTAATAAGGATACAGATCTTTTTATTATCTTTACATATTACAGAAAGACCTGGGGCTCCTGGCTGGCTTAGTCAGTTGAGCATCTGACTCTTGATTTTGGCTCAGGTCACAATCCCAAGCTCGTGGGGTTGAACCCCACATTGGACTCTGCTGAGCATGGAGCCTACTTAAGAGTCTGTCTCCCACCTCCTCTGCCCCGCCTCCAATTGCACCTGTGTGCACGCACACACTCTTTCTCTCTCTCTCTCACAAAAAGACCTTTGTACAAAACCACAGATGTTGTTTTTTTATTATTTTTAGATGGGTGTCTCTGACTTAGCACGTTTGTTTTAGAACTAGAGCAGTTCTTGAAAAAAAATTTTTTTTTTTACATTTATTTTTGAGAGAGAGAGACAGAGCACAAGTTGGGGAGGGGCAGAGAGAGAAGGAGACACAGAATCTGAAGCAGGCTCCAGGCTCCGAGCTGACAGTACAGAGCCCGACGCAGGGCTCGAACTCACCAGCCGTGAGATCATGACCTGAGCCGAAGTTGGACGCTTAACCGACTGAGCCACTCAGGCGCCCTTAGAGCAATTCTTCAAAAGCCCAATTCTTCTGATGAATGAAAACGAGGGTAAATATCTTGTACCATGTGATTCTGTATTAACCTATCCATTTCTGAAGGGTTGATAACCGTGAAATTGAGCACATTTTAACTTCTAATTTTTGAGAATTAAAAAATGTAAGATACCAGAACAGCCACTCATCTTATTTTTAAAGATTCACATAATCTAGTAAGCTTGTACTGTTTTTTAGTGGTGTGTGGGAAACAGGATCCTGTCTCTTAGGCTATTAAATGTGATATTTAAAACTATCTTTGTGCTTTTCTGGGTTAAAAAAAAATATCAGACACTAGTTATAAATTCTAATGTGTTTAAAATCATTTTTTTACTTGTTTTAATGTTTATTTATTTTTGAGAGAGACGGAGGGCGAGCAGGGGAGAGGGCAGAGAGAGAGGAAGACGCAGAATCCGAAGCAGGCTCCAGGCTCTGAGCTGTCAGCACAGAGCCTGATGTGGGGCTCAAACCCACGAACTGTGAGATCATGACCTGAGCCGAAGTCAGACGCTCAACCAACTGAGCCACCCAGGCGCCCTGAGATCCAGATTTTTAACTATTTAACTGTAGAGCCTACATCCTTTTGCCTCCACTTTGATTTTTTTGTTGTTGGCATGGTAATTTATAATCTTTTGTGCTGAACTTGGGAGTAAATAGAACAGAGTTTGAGATTTATAGGCAAGCACTAAGTCCTAGTACATTAAAATAAACTGGTTTCTTAAAAGCTTTGGTTGGCACTGAAAAGGAATTAGTAAGTCGTTGATCTTGTACATCTAACATTGCCTCTGACTAACATGGATACTGAGGTTGGTGTGGATTTTCCTTTGGTGATAAGTAGCCCTCCCAAAGCTCTCCACTCTTGACTGGATTCTTCATAGAGCTATAGAGCAGAAAGAGCCTCTTGAAGCCATGTCTAGTCCGGTCGTCTGCTTGTGGTCTGGTGAGTGATGAAATCCTCTCTTCAGAAAGCCTGTCCTTCTTTTAAGGGACTCCCGATTGGAGTTTCTGTGTTCCCCCTTCTGATAAAATCCTGGCTCCATTTGGGTTAAGCCTATTTCAGAGACTATTGCAGATGAGGGTTATTCTTCAAAATTAATGAAAATCTATATTCACTGAATTCACAATTTCTTCTGCAGACCCCTTTAGACAAAGAAGTACTATCAGATGTCTGTCTTATTGTTAATACTTAACAGACTTGAACGTTTTTATTACAAGCTTTTTAGAATGAAGGTTCTCAACTAATATCTGTGAAAGATGCTTTACAACCATTTAATATTCATTTAGATTTTGTTTTCTTATGGGTTCTTCTTTATTTTTTACTGAGATGTCATTCACCGAACATAAACCTCTTTTATTTTTAAACACCTGCTTTCTCCTCTAAAACAAAGTGCCGGCCAGCACTTTCACAGACCCTTCTCCGGGCTGTGGGGTCATGATTTGGTGGCTGGTACTTTTGAGAAAACCCTGAGTTGCATCCTTGCTCTGGGCCTGTGCCAGGGGCAGCTGTCATTCACTGGGACACAGAGACTGTTCTGTGATGTCTCATTCAACATTGTGCTTTTCGCCTGCTGTTCTAACCTTTAGGCAAACAAACAGACAAAACACAGAGCCTAAACATCAACCTAATACTTCGAGTAAAGCAGGATGGCTTTTCTGTTTCCATACGTTTACTCTTACATGTCTGTGTAACGTTGCCGCTTGCGACTCAATTTATGGTTCATGGTGATTTCCAATTATTTTCTTTTATACTCCTCTCTACCGGCTTTATTTTTCTCTCCTAAAGATGACAGTGATAATATTTCCCTGTATTTGCAACTTGAGATACTGTGCTAGGTGCTTTACTGTGTCATCATCTACCTCAGAGATCTTGGCAGGAAGGTAGTCATTACTTCCATTTTACGAATGAGCCAAGTAAGGCTCAGAGATTGTGGAAGAGACAGTAGCTGGCATGGCTGTGCTAAAGTCCTGGCTTTTAAATCTCCGGTCCAATGCTGTTTGTCATTTATCGAAAGAATTGGACTCTAGGGGCGCCTGAGTGGCTCCGTCGGTTGAGCATCGGACTTTGGCTCAGGTCACGATCTCGCAGTTGGTGGGTTTGAGCCCCGCGTCGTGCTCTGTGCTGACGGCTCGGAGCCAGGGGCCTGCTTTGGATTCTGTGTCTCCCTCTCTCTCTCTGCCCCTCCCCCGCTCATGGTCTGTCTGTCTGTCTGTCTCTGAAATATAAAACAAAATGTAAAAAAAAATTCAAAGAAAAAAATTTGATTCTAATCTTTTATGAATTCCATCTTTGGTTAGGGGAAGTATTTTGAGAGAGAGCTATAGTAAATGTAAATATTTAATTTTACAAATTTAATTTTTAAAAATTGTAGCACATTAAAGTGGTTCCAAAATTACAAAATCATATACAGTGAAAAGCTTCCCTCTTACTCTTGATTCTGGTTGTTTAGTTCCCAGCCTCTCATCAAACAGGTAATGATTAGTGGGTATTAATTTCTTTTGTATTGGCCTCCTACTTTTCTTTGCATACACAAGCAAATACAGATATATAGTCCCGCCCCCCCCCCCCCGTTAAAAAAAAATAATTGATAGCATTCCAGGCACATTATCTGCATCTTATATTTTCATATCAGATCTTTTCGTATCCATAAAGATAGCTTCTTGATTTGTTTTTACAGTGGGGTTTACTTTCAAATGTTGTCTCTGCTCTAAAGCATATACCTGAGATAATTGAACACCTACGTCCTCACAAAAACTTTTACAGGACTGTTGATAGCAGCATTCCTCGTAATAGCCAAAAAGTGATAACCACCCCATGTCCATTGATTGATGAGTGGATAAAAACATGGTACGTCCATACAATGGAATATTATTTGCCCACGGAAAGAAATGAGGTATTGACACAAGTTACAGCCTGGCGGAACCTGGAAAAGATGCTATGTGAAAGGAGCCAGCCACCAGAAAACACATATTGTGCGGTTCCTATTATATGAAATAGCCAGAATAGAAACAAAATAAATTAATTAGTGGATTGCCAGGGGCTGCGAGGGTGGTGTTGGGGGAATGAGGAGTGACTGTTAATGGGTGTGGGGTTTCCTTTTGGGTGAGGAAAATTAGTTGTGGTGATTGTTCCACTAGTCCATGAATTATGAAAATTCGCTGAATTTGAAATTTTTTTTTTAACGTTTATTTATTTTAGAGACAGAGAGAGACAGAGCATGAACGGGGGAGGGGCAGAGAGAGAGAGAGACACAGAATCGGAAGCAGGCTCCAGGTTCCGAGCCATCAGCCCAGAGCCTGATGCAGGGCTCGAACTCACAGACTGTGAGATCGTGACCTGAGCTGAAGTCAGGTGCTCAACTGACTGAGCCACCCAGGCGCCCCGAAAATTCACTGAATTTTAAACTTTATTTATTTTTTTTTTAAATGTGTTTAAATTTATTTTTGAAGGAGAGCGAGAGAGACAGAGCATGAGCAGGGGAGGAGCAGAGAGAGAGAGGGAGACACAGATTCGAAGCAGGCTCCAGGCCCTATGCTGTCAGCAAAGAGCCCGATGCGGGGCTCGAACTCATGAACCGCGAGATCATGACCTGAGCTGAAGTCGGATGCTCAACCGACTGAGCCACCCAGGCGCCCCTAAACTTTTATGTTTTGAGAGAGAGAGAGAGAGAGAGCGTGAGTGGGGGAGGGGCAGAGGGAGAGGGAGAGAGAGAATCTTAAGCAGGTTCCATGCCCAGTACAAAGCCCAATGTGGAGCTTGATCTCATGACCGTGAGATCATGACCTAAGCTGAAATCAAGAGTTGGACACTTAACCGACTGAGCCACCCAGGTGTCCCAATAAAGCCATTATTTAAAAAATTTCAGAGGTGCCTGGATGGCACCTTCAGTCAGGTCACCTTCTGACGTTCTTCATTCAGAAGAACATGTGACTCAATTTCCGGGTCATGAGTTCACTTTAAAGGAAAAAGAAAAAAAAAAGGAAAGAGGAAAAAAAAAACTTCTATAAAGCTTAATTTTTACTTCGCATCCTTTTAGTTGTTACCATATAAATCAGCTTCTAATAACTGGACAGGTAGATTCTAGATACTTCGAGTTTGTTTCATCACATTCTAAGTGAATTGAATTATTTCATTAGCAGGCAATCTGTAATGCTTCTTTAATGTCTGTGGCTTCTCCTTAGCCATTTTGCGCATTGCTCACGCTGGCCGAGTTCTGTCTATTCTCTGTCCCTGACTGCTCTACTTCCTTTCTGTGAGGAGCCATTTCTCAGGTTGACTTCAGCATACCATCTTCTTTGGGTGTCATTTCACTCTAGAGCTGTCATTTCTTATTGTAGGAGCTATTCACAGTTATTCGTATTCTCCGGTTCCAGCTGAACTAACTCGGTTCCTATCTATCAACATACTGTTTTGTTACCAAAATGAACTGTCCTCAGTCTAAGTCTGCCACCTGCCCAGGGTTGCCTCTTACCGAAGCTGGAGCTGGGCAGATACAGTGACTTTTTTTTCCCCTTTGTATCTTCCCTCTCACTGGCAAATACTTTTTTAGTGATAGTGAGTTCTCTTCAAATTCTGTTGCCTCTGGATCTTGTGTATGGGATCCCTTTTTTTTTTTTTTTTTTTTTTTCCCTGCCTTAGCTGGGAGTGAATGGTAAACAGGAGGAAAAGTTGAAAGAATCTGTCCTAGAGTTCCATCTCACAACTGTTCTTTTTGCGTAATCCTCTTAGCTTAGTTACATGCTGAGAAGTTTTTGGCAGGAAATCAAAAATTTCGTATTTTGTTGGAAGGATTGATTTCTTACGATGGAAGTATAAAAATAAATGAATATATTTCTGACAAGCACACTTTCTTCACTTATTCATGCCTTTTTTTTTGTTTTTGTTGTTGTTTTTTTCAGCTCTCCTACAAGCTTGCGTTCCCCATAACCGGCATGTATGGATCAATATTTACAGCCTGGAGGATCCTCGAAGTAATGAGAGAAAAGTCTGCTGCAAGTGACTGGTTGTTTTCTGTAGAGTCCTTGCTCCCTATAACCACAGTAATCCCTGCGCATGTTTTTCTTGTGTTGGCTCACCTCCTTGTTGAAGATCAAGGACAAAATCTTCGCCAAATACTGAAGGTCACTACAGAATTGGCCCAAGCAGATTCCTCTCAGGTAAAGTAAGAAAATAATGGGACAGTAATAGGAGTAAAGCTTAACTGTTGGAATTGTCGGTTTTTCTTAGTTCGTGGATGATTCTTCTCAAAGTTTTAAATTATGGGTTGATTCCTTTGTTTAGGATGGTGGGCTATCTTTATCTTCTCAATTTGTTCATTTTTGTCCTTACACTGAATTGATGTATGCTTAACGATGCACGCGTTTCCTTCATGAAAACACACTTGACACTGAAATCTACACATGATGCTATTGTGGTATTATTGTTTTTTGGTAGATTGGCTAATCTGCAACACTTTTGTTAACTCTTGCGGCCTGTTCCCAGATGAATATCCCTTAGTTCTAATATTGATCTTTTAAAGTGGATGCAGATTAATCAATTTAGGATAAAGGTACCTATGCAGTAGGCATCGATCTCTTTTTGACTTCTGGCAATTTGATTCTGTCTTGATTCATTCCCTTAATAAGCTAAAAAATAGTTCTTGCTATCTATGATAATGATCAACATGGTGGGATTCTTCCTATCTGCACAGATCTTGGAGCGTAACCAGCAGCATTGTCTAGTCTTAGACGTTAATAAGACTCCCCCCGCCCCCCGCCCACCTTTTGTAACTAACCTTATCCTTGGTAAAGTAATCTAACTTTTTCCCACTGGATAGACTCTCAAGAACTAACTTCCTTTGAAGGGAAAGGCTTCCTAACCATATAGGCATGGTATTTTTATTATTCTGTTTATTAGTATCTGTGCTGATGCTTCTTTTTAAACATGGTGAAGAAAAAGTTCATCTCTTTATGGAAAATGTGTGTTTCCTACAGGACAAAATTCAGTTGATAGAGACAGGATAAAAGTGATTAAGATATGAAGTGAATGTATTTGGATTCTTTTTATTCCCAGCTTGTTATGCTCATTCTTTTTAGTCAAGTGAGGAACCATTGATCTATCTATAAAAAGTTTTCCTTCGGACTAGACCTCTTGTGGTCTGATGTTTCCAAGTGGATTTGTGATGGTCTCAAAGTACCTTTGTGTCCTGGTGTGTGCATAATGTGAGTCATTTCAATTTGCTTCCTACTTTATTTCTCCCTTTACATGCTGTAGCGATTGTGCTTCTAATAGATGTGTTGTTTCAGTGCTGACACCTTATAAGATAATACCTTTATAATAGTTAATGCACAGATAATGCCTGGAGACTATCTAAAGAAGTCCTGTGGTAGGTTACCTGACCTGTGTATGCCACTGATGTAAAACATATATTACATCAAATTCTGTGTTGATTATCAGGAAATGCTTGGGTCTTTGAAATTCTAGGGTGACATTTTTGGTTATAAGTAATGGCGACACGTCTGTCTTAAATAGTTTTTATTAGCTCCAGAATTTAGAAAAAGCATGACCTAGACAGTATACCCATGGTAGAGTTTCTTTGTTTCCTCTGTGAATTGGCTGGAAGCCCGAAGCCTTATAACCTTATATTCATAGCCCAAAAGGAAGAGAGAGACGTAGAGGTGTTTGGATTGACCTCATTGGGTCGTGTGCCCATACTGAATCAACCATTGTGGCAGGATAATGGGGCACTTTAATTGGCCATCCTAAGTAGAATGGAAGTGGGTGAAGGGTCAATCCTGAATGCCACCGTGATCATGTGGATTGAGGGTGGGATGATCCCCCAAAAGAAAAACCGTTTCCTGGCAGTAAAAGTGGGGATATGCTAAATAGGCCAAAAATGTAGCGGTGAACGTCTCAGCCGGTGTTGTGGGAGCTCTGAACTGGTGTGAGGGCGTTTCAGGTATGTCAAAGTCCTCACCCCTCTGAGCTCTCGGGCGGCCGTGTAGTAGTCTAAGCTCAGGGTGCTGGCTTGGCTGGTAGCCTCTCTGACCCCCTGGGGTTTCAGGAATTTACCCCACACTCCTTATAAGCCTGATTTTTCATGTGTGCCACGAAATAGAAAAGGTGGGGAAGTACTAACGTGACCATCAGGTTTGTTTATCTTTTTCAATAAACGTTTAAGAAGCAGTGGTCGAAATCGAAGTTGGTATGTTCCACTTCTGTTGACGATCTCTTGGGTAGTTTGGAAAGAAGTGAGAAACAACGAGTGTAATTGTGCCGTTACGATGAATAGTAGGGTGCAGTGCTTAAATAGTTCCTCAGCTTCATGCATAAGCAAAGGCAGTGTCATTAAGAAGAACTTAGAAGTGGAGTTTTTGTGAAAAGGAGCATCCTTGAACTAGGAGATAGTGTTGTGTTTCCTCACTTCTCCTTTTGAAGTGACCATTTCATATCCTTTCATGGGACTCGGGTTACGGGTAAAGTAGCCAAAAAGAGAGGACCGAATATTTGGAAAGAGCAAGTCTTCTAATTGTGAGCAGATATTTGGAATAGACTCAGTCGAAACGAGTTATGATTGTAATCTGTTATTGGTGGGTTGTTTCTCTTTCGTTCACTGAGTTGACAAGTCTGCCTGAAGCTTATGAATTTTTATGTGGTGTTTATCTGTTCTCACCATAGAGGAAGAAGCTATATTATGTTTAAGCAGTCATTGGCTCAAATTCATGGGGCAGTTTATACTACAGAAAAGTCTGAGACTACTACTAAGGGGAAGCTAAGTAAATAGGTAGGTAAGAGCAGGAATTTCGAGGCTGTCTTTCACCTCTGTTTTGGTGGTCACTTAACCACTGTGGTAGAACTCGTTGAGGTGCAGTATGCTTGCTGAAGATCGACTTTGTGTGACATCTTAATTGATTGAAAGAATCCTACTGTAAGCTCTTGTGAGAGAAAACATTTGAAAAGCTTGAACGTGACGAAGTATGTTTTGGTATGCTTGTTATTATCATTATAAAGTATCAACTGAAGTTATTTTTAGTGCCTGTGAATGGTAGTACAAGTCAGTATCTACTAGTAATGTGATGTGAGTGTTCATAATGCTAAGAAAACGGGCTTTTGCATGCATCAGACATTTATTTTTTTTTAATTTTTTTTTTTAACATTTATTTATTTTTGAGACAGAGAGAGACAGAGCATGAATGGGGGAGGGTCAGAGAGAGAGGGAGACACAGAATCTGAAACAGGCTCCAGGCTCTGAGCTGTCAGCACAGAGCCCGACATGGGGCTCAAACCCACGGACCGCGAGATCATGACCTGAGCCAAAGTCGGCCGCTTAACCGACTGAGCCACCCAGGCGCCCCCATCAGACATTTATTAAGCAGACACTGCATGCCTTATGCCTCATGTAAGTACCTATCTTGGTTTGTGAGTAATATTCATTTAGTTAACACATGACGATGATGATGATTTTAATTTAAATTCAAGTTAGTCGACATACAGTGTGGTCTTGGCTTCAGGAGTAGAACCCAGTGATTGATCTCTTACATATGACACCCAGCGCTCATCCCAAAAAGTGCCCTCCTTAACGCCCATCACCCATTTACCCCATCCCCACACAGAAAATGGGCTTTTTGAAAAAAGTGATGATGTTACTTCTTACTAATCATGCGTTTTGATGCCTCTTCCTGCTCAGTGAGTTTTCATCCTTGTCTCTCACCCGGTTCCCCTGGGTCATGCATTTTCCATTGGGATTTATAGCTTTAGGGCCGTGGAAGACTAGTGGAGTTAAGTGGTCTGAAGGGAAGTTGACTCTGTCAGTACTATTTTAGAGTTAACTAGACGCAGATGATGATGTTAAAATAGTTACCCAAAGACACAACAATAAATCGACACTTGAAAATAATAGGCAACTCTTCCCCCTCCCCCACCCCCACATCTAGAAGTGCTGTCAGTAGTTACTAATCCTAACAGTTTTCTTACCCAGAGAAATATCTCTTACTCGTGAGATTTAATGTGCAGAAGACACAAGCTCAGGTCAGGCAGCACTCGGTAAAAGTTAAGTGTCTTTTACCTTCTCGGAGGGAATGTTCTGGGGAGATATCCAAGAATGAGCATCCTGTGTAAATTTCCGTGGAAGTCTTGAAGGTTTTAAACGCGTCAATTTAGTTTAGAGAGAGGTTTTTGTATCATGGCCTATGCTTATAATAAATGAGAGTGCCGTCTATTTCTTAAATTAGTGTTTTTTTCTGGAAATAGAAGTTGATAGATTTGTGTGCTTTTTGGTTATGTTTATATAATAGCTCCTGCTTGTCTGATACTGAGTAATGTTATTTTCATACGTTTTGATAGAAGTCATTCAGGCTGCCTTGAGGGATGCCTGAATGAGAATTAAAGCACATGGCTTCATGGCTCATGTACAGTAACGTCCAGTTGGCCTTATTCTTTCCTCTTCACCGAGCTATTTACTACCCCTATGGTTTGTTCAGGACCTGGTTTCATCTGGTGTGAAATCATTGGTAGTGAATGTTAAAAACGGACTTTACCGAGTTAATTAAGGGATGATGTAGACGGTAGGCCTAAATGAGGACATTTTCTGAGCTTTACGGCTTTTATTTTTATTTATTTTTATTTATTTTTTAGAGAGACAATGAGAGTATGAGCAGGGGGAGAGGGACACAGGGAGAAAGAGAATCTTTTTTTCTTTTCTTTGTATAATAAATTTTATTTATTTTTACTTATTTATTTTTTAATTTTATTTTTTTAAATTTACATCCAAATTAGTTAGCATCTAGTGCAACAATGATTTCAGGAGTAGATTCCTTAATGCCCCTTATCCACTGAGTTCCCCCCCCTCCCCCACAACCCCTCCAGTAACCCTCTGTTTGTCGTCCATATTTGAGTTTCTTCTGCTCTGTCCCCCTCCTTGTTTTTATATTATTTTTGTTTCCCTTTCCTTATGTTCATCTGTTTTGTCTCTTAACGTCCTCATATGAGTGAAGTCATGTGATATTTGTCTGGGAGAAAGAGAATCTTAAGCAGGCTCCATGCTAAGTCGTGGGGCTTGATCCCATGAGTATTGACCTGAGCCAAAGTCAATAGTCAGATACTCAATTGACTGAGCCGCCCAGCTGCCCCTGATCATTACAGCTTTTAAAAAGGGCAATATCAAATCTTATTTTGAACC